CTGCAAATGGATATATCGACGCGTTCTGTTCTGTTTTTAGGCTTTAGCAGCTTCTGCAGGAGCAGTGGCTTTCTTGGCAATGAGCTGCTCATAAAGATCTCTGATCTTCAATCCAACAATGGTTTGGAAAAGACCAGTTCCATTGTTGCTACCCGGGAAATCAGCATGCTTGAGCATTTGTTGAGTGACTTCGCCGTAAAATTTGGTCGAGAGGTTGCTCAGATGACTCTCTACGTAAATCAGCTCGTCCAGTCTATCGAATTGCCCATCCATCTCCAAAACCGAAACCTGCCAGAGAACAATGATATAAGAACATAACCTACTTGAATGAGGAGTCAATGATTATGCAATTCCGCAAGTCTTTATCCATCATATATATGCGAAACACACAGATTTACTTTCTATAGTTCCGCAAGATTAATAACAATCTTGGTCATTCTGCAATGTTACCAATCGAAACCATAAATGAATGTACCTCGTGGTCGAAGTAGGAATCAGGTTCATAGTTGAACTTGATGCCAGGGTACGAGCAAGTGAGTTTGCGGCCGCAAGGAATCCACGAGATGGTTGATCCTTCATCGAATAGGTAAACAGGGCTAAAGTATTTAACACCTTCCTTCATTATCAATCTCACTCTCAACACTTTGCCTTCATTGTCATCCGGAATCAGCTGCGTTGGAAGCACCTCTATCACCGCATCCGCGTACTGCTTTTGCGGGTCTGTATAGAGCCATTAATACATCGTTAAACCAGATCAACCGGGAAATGAAATGAGCTTAAACCGAAGAAGTATAGTTATACCGATGAATGCATCGAAGTCAGGCTTTCGTGCTTCGATACTCGCTTTGATGCTCTCTAAACTGTGACCTCTTTCAGCCATGTCCCTCTATGATCATCAAAACCATTACAGATTCCGTTGATACAACAAAATTGTCAGTATCAAAACGGTCAAAATTAAATATGTATATATGAATATGAATTATTCAAAGTAACGCACCTGAATCTTCCAAGCGAATTTGACCTCATTGCTAATGTCTAAGTAGATACTGAAGTCCAATAAGCTTCTCACTCTCTCATCAAACCTTCACAAGTAGGTTAAAAATATATTACAAAAATATTACAACTACCAAAAATTATAACTTAATTATTCGAATAAAATTTTAAGACTTCATGCATAGGTTCAAAGATCCATAAATTTGATTCTGATACTGATTCTTACATAAAATATAAGTCCAAGATTCTTAATTATCTAAATTCCGACAAAATTTGTCCTAGAGACAAAACAGAGTATGTGTGGCTTACATTGGGTGGAGACCTTCGATGACAAGAATCTTAGGAGGTTGAATAAGCTCAGGAGCATCAAGAAGACCAGTGACATGATTATAAATCGGTTTCTCAACAGCTACACCACTCTTAAGAGCTTTGACTTGCTCATACATAAGATCAAAGTCATTGGCTCGTGGGTCCAAAGCAGTGACTCCTTTCTCTTTACGACCGGTTCGGTCTAAAGAATGGTAATCATCAAGACAGATCACAGTAGTCATGTCACTGATGAGTGTGTTTGAATCAGGGTTCCCTCCTCTCGGTGGCTCGGCTGCTCCACCGAAGACACTAGTGAGCCTCCTCATGAAAGTGCTTTTGCCACAGCCGGAATCGGCTGCTAGTCCGATCACGACGGTTTGTTGTGCTGCACAAGTGATGAATCTACTACGGTTGGTTTGGGATTGATTACGACGGTAGAAGAAGACATGTTTTGAGTTTGATGAGGAAGAAGAAGAGGTTAAGAAA